ATAGACTGACAGACATACACACACACGTGTACAAGCACATGTGCACATATGCACTCACTCACACCAACACTCATCTGTGATCCTTGCATGCATATTTACACAATAGATATATTTATGACCCTCTATATATGTATATATATGATTATATATACATATATAAATGTTATACAGACACAAATAGATAAATATTACTTGCCCAAGTTCAGCAAAAATCCAAGCAATGATTACAGATAAAAAAGTATAAATATAGGGGAGTGTTATAGATTAAATAATATGTATAATAAGTGCACCAGCAGGAGCGAGGCATATAGATACACATAAGCAATTCCAGCGTCGAGGAGTCTGAGACAGGAGAAATGCTAAAAGTTCAAGGTGGGTCTGGGCTACCTAATAAGTTGCAGGTCAGTCTAAGATACAGAGGTTCTGCCTCAAAAAATATAAGCCAAAAATGTAGTGCATATGCACCAGAATCAAATAACCCAGAAAAACAAAGATATGTGATTAGAAACATTTTTAAATAATTGGAGTTACAAATGATATCTTCCTTACAAATATCCATGAAAAGTTTTTTGAATATTAAGGGCAGATTGCCTGAAAACATGCAGGTTAGTAATAGGTGGCCACGTGCCTTGGATGGTGCACACAGGAGCTGTGGAAGACGGCTGCTGAACACTGGGAATGAAGTCAGCATTGACTAAGCCATGCCATCAACACAGAAGCCATAGTTTAAAGACTGAGCGTGAAAAATGAGTCTAAAGTCCCCATATAGTCACCATCTGTCCCTTCAATATTGAATGACAGCCTTTGGGGTCGAGCAGGTGAGACAAAACATGGTTCTAAAGTTGGGTCCCCTGTTGACTCACATTGTCTTAACATGATTCCCTACATAATTTATATTTATTTTATATTTATATTTTATACTTATAAATTATATTTATATTTATAATCTGTGGCTCACATCTGTCTCCACTTAAGAGCGTTAAACCATCACTTCCCGAGTGTCAGAGCATTTGGATCAAGACACTGCAGACGCAGGGAGCTAAGGAATCTGTGATTCCTCTGAGAAGCCAAGCAATTTTGGCTGTTGATCCTGGTTGCCAAATTGACACAATCTATAATCCCCTAGAAGGCAACCCCTGTGCTGTCTGTGAGGGAGTTTCTAAATTGGTTAATTGTCATAGGAAGACCAATCCAAAAATGTCCATACACCATCCCATGGACTGGAGTCCCTGAGCACAGAGTTCATCTCTCCCTGCTTCCTGGTGTGGACACAGTGTGACCAGCTGCCTCCTTGGCCAGCAATCAGCCTTCCCTGTCATGACGGACTGACTGGATGGCTTCTTAAACCACATATCAGAATAAACTCTTCCTTAGTTTGTTTTTGTTAGGAATATTGCTGCAGGAATGATAAACGGTAATTATATAGTGCTCTCTCTTTAATTACCCTAAACTCAAAAAATAAAGAGAACCGATCACAGTAGGTCGGTCCCACGATGACATAGCTATCCAAGACCAGAGGCATCATCGCACTGATTTATGTGAGGTGTTTTTCTTATTTTCTCATTGCCTCAGTTTTTTGAAGTAAGGATGAGAGAGAAGAGTATGGGAGGAAGGAGGGGCTGTGATGATGTCACCAAACCTGACACCTAGCTTCTTAGGCTCACACTCAGAACAGGGCTGGCATGAGAAGACATGCAGAAAACACTCACATGTGTAAGGACACACACACACTCATGTTGGCAGACACACTGGCATTCACACACACACACACACACACACACACACACACGCCCCCAGCTGCTTCCTGGCTTTTCATTCAAGGTTTCTAAAGAGATAAAGTGACCTAATTTCCTAACCTAGTTTAAAGCATCTCTGTGTGAAGACTCTGGTTCCCTGATCTTGTCCCTGAACTGAACTGTGAGGCAATGTACCAACTGTGCTGTTCCGACCTGCTGGGGAGCAAGCCCGTCTTTGCTGAATGTCATCAGCTAGAGGAAAGAAATACTGGTGTGGATTGAGGGTGGGGGGAGTTGAGCTGGTTTTGTTCGAGCTGAAGTTCTGTTTTCCAGGGAACGCTGGGTGGCAGGATGTGGTCCGGTGAAGAAATGAAAAAGACTCAGAGCGGATGACGGTGGACTTATGATTGACATGAGCTCTGTTGCCCACCCCCCACACTGGCCTGTGGCTTGCTCCAGGCGGCTTAATGGGCAAAGCAAAATTACAAAACAGTGGGGACAGAAGCGAGACCTACCTCCAGTATTATTGGCTACAATCTTAAAAACAGAGGCGAGCTCTAATTGTAAATTGAGTCACCTTTGCAGAGGAGGCATGCGACATTTAAGAAGACACATATTATCTGTGGCACCGACACACTTCTAAATGGGCTAACTCACTCCAAATGGAGAGCTTGGACTCCAGCCCAGGAGACGAATATTTTTGGTTTCTATTTTGAACATCACTTCCTCCCCATTCTAGTAATTTAGCTTATTTCCTCCCAAACTGGCTTGGCTGACATGTGTCTTAATGGTATCCGAGGGAACAGCCTCTCCTGGTTGTTTCTAGCAGGGTGAAGAAAGGCCACTAGTGGGAGGGGAAGACCAGGCCTCTCTGTGTGCGTGATAATCTACCTCACTGTGCTACACAGTAGGAAGAACCTGCAAAGGGGGGTTGCTTGGCATTAAAACAGGTCCTATTGGTTTCTTTTACCAGTTGTCTTTGGAGTCGTGTTTAGCACGCCTTTCAGGAACTAGAGATTATCTGAGTGCCCATCAGTTTCCAAGAGTAAGTTCACTTCTTATTGACCCAGCAGAGGAGTTACAATCAATTCATGTCCCAGAATCAGTAACCAGGCAGCCCTTAGGCTGTCCTGTACTCTCCACTTTGAAGAGAAAACAAACACACTGCCTAGCTCTTCGGGAAACTAGAGATCTAACAAGACCTCAGACAAGCCAAACAAAAAGCTCTACCTTGGTTCTGTTTGCAAAATGGCTCACTATGAACAAAGGAATGTACACAGTAATTGGGATGTGTGAAATGGCCTAAATAAAAGATATCAGGGTCTAGGGAGGGAAGAAGTAGAAAGGGAAGAAAAGAGGAAGGGAGGGAGAGAACCAAAAGACAGGGTTGTTGCAGATGGATGCTCAAGCCTGAAAACCCTTCCTATGCTTTATGCAAAATAAGAAAATTCCCCAATTCCTCATTTGGACTCTTAAGCAGAAGGGTCAGTTAATACACAGTGTACCTGACAGAAAAAGGCCAGCATTTTAAAAACCAGTCTGAGTCATTTAAACTCTTACAGAAAAAAAAAACGGAGGACACTGAAATACACCTAACCCTCTCCTCCTTCCTGAACATTCTGAGCCATTGGGTACTGGCCACTGCTGACTTCTGTCTGCTGCCACTGAAAACAATGCCAAGGGACGCATCTGTTCCAGAGCCACATCTGAGTCTTTCAGAAGGGCGTGTCCTTCTCTTTGCTTTCCTACTGGACTTTCAGCAGAACACCATTACAGGGTGCCCAGAATCATCAGGGAGGAAAGAAAGAAGAACAAAAGACCACAACACACCCAACCTGAGCTCCTATTTGCTCGGCCCCGATTGTGTACCAGAGCCTCCCACCACCAGCCAAAAATACAGCTTGAATGAATGCTACAGTGTACACCTTTCCATGGGAATCAGAAAATACTGCCTGCTAGTCTAATGCTGGCTTAGGCAGGACACTTAGTAAAAGCGTTTGTTGATAACTGTTTTCAACATCAGCCAGGACTAGAGAGGGTCCTTTCTCAGATCCCAGTGGCTCTCCCCGCTTCCACTGTGAACTCTGCTGGCCCAGGCATTGCTGTATTGGGTTCCCACTGTTGATTTCTTTCTATCCATGGATTTTTAGCTCCATTTAAACCACATCTTCATTACCCTCTTGATCCCAAGGAACCTGCCCAGAATGCAAAACAAGGATGGTAGCATTGGCTGGGCCAGAAAACAATGTCCGAGTGCATAGGAGATTCCACTGTGGCAGACACACTTTAAACATACATCCATAGGCATCTGGGCTTAAACAAGGGGATGAGGACACGTGCTGGAGAAATGATAGATAGCCTTTCTAATATGATCCTTTTCATAATGACACAATGATTCTTTCTACAAGCGGAGAATGATGTTAGATAAAGATGGAAGCCCACAAGCCAAGAATGATGATAGACAGCTATCTCTTGCCAACTTAAACAGACTGAATGCTTAAATATAAGAGCTGACGCTATTAAGAAGAAAACACAGGACACTTGACACTGCGTGAAAATGCAGGAGACAGGATTCAGGATACTTTGACAGGATGGACTTTCTAAAGAGGCCCCAAAAGTACAAGAAACAAAGGAAAAACAAGCAAGCAGGGTCATATAAAACTCAAACACTTCTACACAGCAAAGATAGCAGGTAACAGAGTTAAGGCCTGGGTGGTAGGTCTAAACCAAAATGCCTGAAAAGAAGACACGCAAGCTACCAGTGGAGAGATTTTTAAACAGTAAACATCACTAATAATAGTGGAAATACAAATCAAAACTACAATGGAACAGCCCCACCTTTGCTAAGAGTGGCTCCCATTGGATAGAAGCTAACATGTCCTGTAGAGGATGTTGAGAAAGGGAACCCAACATGTTGGTGGGGGGAACAGTAGCAGACACAGCCACAAGAACACAATGGGATGCTCCGCAAAAGCGTCAAAAATGAAACCACAGTCTGACTTAGCCATCTCACTCCCAGGTCTGTATCCGAAGGAAATGAAAATCCTTCGATTTGCATAAGTAGGAGACACATCTGCCTTGTTCACTGAACACTCTTCACAGCAGTCAGGAAACGGAAGCATCCATGGGTGTCCATCAACAAAAGAGCCCAGAACTTGGGAGGAAGAGACAGGCCGACTACCGGGGCTCCCAAACCAGCCAACAAGCCTAGCCTATTCATCAAATTTCAAGCCAATGATAACCCTAGTTTAAAAAAAAATAGAAGAAGAAGAAGAAGAAGAAGAAGAAGAAGAAGAAGAAGAAGAAGAAGAAGAAGAAGAAGAAGAAGAAGAAGAAGAAGAAGAAGAAAGTAGTGCTTGAGTGCTTGAGGACTCTCTTGGGCACTATGACACTCGAGGTAGACCTCTAGCCTTCACACCCATGTGCACACCCCCACAAAAGGATGGGACACGGGACAGGTGGAAAGAGGTACTGGATGCAAAGAAAATGCTGAACAAGCTCACTGAGAACATATGAAGGTCAGTGGAGGGTGTGAATGCTCTCTTCATGTAAGAGATTGAAAAACTTAAAGGTGAAAGAAATTTACACCGGAAGTAAAACCTAGACTGTGATTTCACTAAGGTTTGTTACATTGTTAGAAAGGCTAATATAAAGAGTCGGGGAGCTGGACCGAGTGGCACATGTCTAGAATCCAGCTCTTTGGGAGGTTAGATTAAAAGGCTCAGGAGTTCAAGGTTGGCTTGGGTTATAGAGTGTGTTCTGAGCTAGCCTGGGCTACTGGGAGAGACACCTTTCTTTAAAAATGAGTAGAAATAAGGGTTTGGGATAGTGTTCAATGGCAGAGTGCTTGCCTAGCTTATCTGAGGCCCTGGATTTAATACCCAGTACTATAAAGAAGAGTCTGTGAACCCCTTTTCATTTCATATGATTAAAAGTCTTGGGTGACTGTATATGCTACAATGTTATTTAGAAGCAGAAACTAAGGCAGGAAGTGTTTGCAATGGCCTTTTTTCTGGGTCTAGCAAACACTCAGACGACTTAGTGGCAGGAGAAAGAATTCTAAGATTATGTTTGTACCAATAATATTTACCTATTGTTCAAATAATTTTAGCTCTAACAGCAGCAAGAATGAAATGAACATTTCCCATTTCCCCCTCAGGAAGCCGAGGCCAAATCACACTTGCCGCTGGGCAATGCCTTTTCTGTTTGTGAGACTGTGCCACTGGCTTATGGCAGAAGCATCTACCATATCCCCCGACAATAAGTCACTCTACAGGATTTCAATTCTGCCAAGTTGAAAGAGTGTGGAAAGATTTTCCCATCTATACACAGGCACGAAAACAGACATGCCTTTAAATCTTAGTCGAAATTAAAAACCCACTTAGGGCAACGTGAAAATCAGAGCTTACTTTTTATAGCCCGTGACCTTTGCTAAGGGTGTTATTTTTAAATTCAATAAAATATCATATTATCTGTCAAAAATGCGGTGCAAATATAGACAGGAATATTATTTATCCACACAGAAAAAGGAAAACCTTTCATTTGCAGCATAGATGGAATTGGAGGCTTTTGTGTTTAGCCAAATAGGTGAGGTACAGGAAGTCGAGCGTCATGCAATCTCACTTACATATGAAATATTACTGAGAGCAAGATGGTTGTTACCAGAGGCTGGGAGAGACAGTGGTTAGATAATCGAAGGAAAGATTCTTCAATGGATATTAAATCATAGGTAGATACAATTTCATAGCAGGGTAGCCACAAACAATAACAGTTTAGTGTACTTCTCTTGCAGAAGGCTAGAAAAAAAGGAGTTAGAATATTTGCAACATAACTAACTGATGATAAATGTCTAGGTAGATCTACTTTGCCCGTATTTAAACATTGCACATTGTGCCCATGTGTTGAAATACCACATGGCACACCATAAATACACATGATTTTTATGTTTTAGTTGGCTAAAAGAAAGAAATACTCCCCTCCTTTCTCCCATGGCTCCCTCCCCTAAGCTGGAAAGGACAGGGATGAGCCTGATCATTGTTGAGACAGCAAGGCAGAACCGAAGAGCAGCCCTGCACAGGGCTTCAGGTGGGGACAACGGCTTTCAGCCCACCATTAATGATCTCATTAACTTGACCACTGAAGACTCTCAGTAGGTGTGTTCTGACTTACGGAATCCTGAGGGCGAGGTGAGAAAGACACAGCGTGCAAGTAAACATTAGCTTGAGGGGGAAAAAACCAAACATAAAAACAGTAGACACCTACGCTCCAGTCCAGAGTGGCCCTAGGCTCCTTTGCTGGACCATTTGCCACAGGAAGGCCGAGAGGATGTGCAGGCGCCAGATGCTGGAGGCCCGTCCGGGAGATGGCTTTCCTGTAGCAAGAAAATAAATTCATAAATAAATGCATACATATATAAGGACACACAAACATGAGAATGTTGTGCAGAGCTCATAGCTCCTTGTGGGGCAGGAACTGTACCCGAGTGATCCGAGTGATTCTCTAATGTCTGATATTCTGTACGACTGTGCAGAGACACACCTCTGCTGGGATTAGAGAGGGGCAACTCTCCCAAGATCAGGACATTCGAGGCAGCTGCTTTGTATAGGCTACAGGACCAGACACTAAAAGCCCAGCTTCTTTTCATGGTGTAGGGTGAGAGGGGAGCCTCTCCACTTACAGAAATGGACTTAGGGTGGATACTTGTAGTACTTGGAAAGAAACTAATGTTGCCAGAGAAGAAATATAAACAAAGTCCTCTCCGGTAATCCCGCTGCCCAGAACAGTGCTGTTCAGGCTGGTTACCAATGGGAGTTTGTTCTTCCTCCCTTCCCCTGAAAGCATCCTCCTTCCCCATGCAGAGGACCATTGTCCATGGAGCTGAAAGCTCTCAGTGTGTGAAAAGACCGATTTGCATCTGTCAAGGAAGAGCTCAAGTTTCTTCAGGACCCCTCAACACAGGCAAGAGGACCCACAGCAAGAGAAACAGACGGAAGCCACAAGGAAACAGCTACTGTGAACGCCCTCTCCCCCCCCACACAGTGCCTCGGAGGGGAAAGGTGCTTACACTTTTTATTTATTTATTTTTACTTATACTGAATTTATTTATGACTAAGTCATAGTTGAGTAGCAGTTAAAGAACACAGAGAGATAGCTCTGATGGACCTGGTCTTGCTCTTCTTCCTCTCCATCCACGACACATACGAAATACACACATGTCTAGGTGTCTGCTCATCCACAGTACATAGGATGCACATGCATGTCAAGGTGTCTGCTCATCCCTGGACAGAATCACTTTGTGTCTCTCCTGCCAGCCTCACCTAGATAAGAATTAGATCCCATTATTCCCCCACTCCAAACATAATACATTTGTATTGCTTCTGGCGTAGGATACCACATAGCAAAATCAACACAGAAACCGGAAAGCATTCCCCATTCATCTCTGTTCGCAGCTGGCCTCTCTGCATGTTCACTGACCTATCAGACTCCATCCAGGAATGGAACTGGCGAGAGTAAGCAAGACCAGGAGTTCTCCACACCCAAGGGTGGACATATGCCACCACTGGCCTCTGTGTATGTCAGAACTCAACAGGTGTCTGGCTGGCTCTCTGTTTCTTTTAGGGTCTCTTGGAGTCCTCACTAGGAAGTTCCAGAAACAGGTCTTCAGCAGTTGGAAATTATTACAACAAGATTGCTGGCAATTTTTTTCAATGCTCCAGAAGGATGCAGGCAACATATTTGACCTATATATTCCCCAAACTCATCACAAGGGTAGAAGCCTTGAAGGAAGATAGGTAATTAACAACACCAGTTTTGCTTTCTCGCATCAAAGTAGATGCCACAGCCTCCAGTCATATTCCTAGGAAAGGAACAGTGGCTAGGTGTGGTGGCATGGGCCTGGAATCCAGCAAAGCTAAGGACACAGTGCAGGAGGATGTGAAGACAGAAAGTTCAAGGCTATCCTGGGATGCACAGCAGGACTCTGGCTTGGAAAATAAAAGGTAAGTAGACATTCGAAGGTGCTGAGATAGTCTAACATGATGTAAGAAACAAAGAGGTGAAGAGAGAAGACTGAAAATCTCCTAGAGCAATCCTTTGCTCCCACGTTGAATGACTTTCTATGGCATGTCTCTTAGGGTTTTTTCTCTAGATTCGAAGCCCCACCACCACCATCAATGCTAAGCCAGTTTTCACCATTAACAAAAGCATATTTCTGTGAATTCAGGAACTACAGTTTCCACCTTTGGGTCTAAATCTAAGTGTTTAAAAAATATAACAGTAAGAGGTTGAGGCAGGAGGATTATAATTTTAAAGGATTATAATTTTAAATTTTGGGCTACATAGCAAGTTTGAGGATAGCCTAGGCAACTTAGCAAGACTTAAATGAAAGTGAAAGTATGTGTGAAAATGCCTGATTGAAATATTATTTGGGACTTGGGGGCAAAAGGAAGGAGGGAGAGAAGGAAGGGAGGAAGGAAGAGATAGAGGGAAGGAGGGAGGGAGGAAAGAAATGAGGGAGAAAATGAAAATCAACCTTGGGTTTAGGCTTCACACACACACACACACACACACACACACACACACCACTAATACCCAAGCACAAAGTCCTTGCTGACGGCAGAAGAACTCTTACATTTTAGATGAATGAGATAAAAGCAAGTCTTCCAGAGTTTCACATTTCAGAGAGCTGTGATTAGAAAAAAGAAGAGAGAGAGGATAAGAGATGGAAGGAGGAGTAAGAGAGAAATAAAGAGCAAATGAGCTCAGCTTCCAGGCAGCTGTGGACTGTGACAGCCAAACTTTCGTCACCCTTCATAACTAGGAACCACTCCTGACCCAGCAGCAAACTACCCAAACCACTGACTCAGGAGGCAAGGCAGCCACACAATACAGAACATCACTGCGCCTTGAGAGCTCAGCATGGTACTTCTCTGGGACTCCAGTTGAAACAGACCCTTTTCCAGCCTGTGCACAGAAGCAACTATGTCTTTTGATTACTTCTCATTTATCATGGACACAAATGTAAGGTTGAATTTGTAACATTAACAGAAGAAAGTAGTGTGTGTGTGTGTGTGTTGCACGTTACAAACATTAATTAGAGGGGAAAATGAGTAAGAGGCATTGAGGGTAGCTCCAGTCTATGAGCAAAAGTGCATCTTAGAAAAGTAAATATAAGAAACACAGAAAAATCATAATTAGAAAATATTGGAGCACGGAAAGGCACTTCTGATTTCAGCTCTCCACTCTTCTAAATAGCATAAAATCATTTTTTAACAGTTCATACATGAATGAACATTTGCCTTTAAAGAGTAGAAGAATCTCATTATATCTGAGACCTCAACTAAAACCAGTGTTAGTTTTCTATTTACATCCATCATGGTGGTGGAAGATGACAGGAAATTCTAGCAAAACTTGGTGGAACTTGATAGAAGGGGTGATGGCCGTAGTTTTATGTGACAATTCGCTCCAATAAAACAATAAATGGGGGTTCAACTTTTTTGTCTTTCTTCCCACTCAGAATCTTCCCGAATGCACAGACTGTGAAGTGTGAAATGCCAACAATTCTATTAACTTCACAGCGTCACTTTGTGGGGAGTGAGTATTCTCACAAGAGCATGTCTGAAAAGAACTGTGATATTAACTGTGAAATAAATATGAAAAGAAAATACTTCATAATGTGGTTTCCAGAGCATAAAGTCACAGTTAATGTCAATTACCTGACATGAAAGACTACTAACACATTTCAAGTACAAAAGCCATCTTACATCTTAAACAGCTTTCTATTATTCTCTTTCCTTCATTCGGGAAGACTATAAACTCCTAAAGGACAGGGTTCCATTCATCCACTAATCCTGTTACATCTAGCCCAGGGGTAGAGTCTGCAAATATTCAATAAATGCTTTCTGAATTAATGAATGAACTTGACCAAGAAGCTAAGCAAAACCAGCTTGTTGATTAGATCAGGGCTTGAGAAATCCAATTAGGATGATTTGAATAGCATCCCAGGCTTTATACTTCCGAGATGCTCTTTGCTGAGAGGGCCCAAAAGTCCTTCAACGCAGCTTTTTGAAAATAAATGCAACTGGGCATGGTGGCACGTGCCAGAGTTCCAATCCCAGCATTCAGAAGGCCAAGGCACAGGCGGGAGGGCAGTCTACTCAAGGCCAACTTGGACTGCATACATAGGGAGAGTCTCTAAACACCAAAAGATAGATAGATAGATAGATAGATAGATAGATAGATAGATAGATAGATGCAAATGAAGTAGACTCCAGTCTTGATAAATCTAGGGAGTACTAGGCCTGAGAGCGCATGCTTATAAATCTAGCACTGGAGAGGCAGAAGCAGGAGGATCACCAAGTTAAAGTTTTCCATGGCCTGGACCAAGCCATCTCAAGAGCAAAAAAAAAAAAAAAAAAAAAAAAAAAGAGAGAGAGAGAGAGAGAAAGAAAGCAAGGGTAGAAGGAAAGGTGGAAGAGAGGAAGGCAGGGAAAGAAGGAGAGGATCAAAAAACTAAAGAACCAAGAGAAAAAGACAATCTAGCCTTGGAGACAGCAAATTAGCTCATCTTCCTGGTATGATCACTAAATAGCATTTCATTGTTCTATTCATAAAGGACACATTGTGACGGTATTAATGTTTTTAGGTCTCACCATGCACCGCTGGTTAGCTGGCTGGCCTGAACATACTATGTAGAACAGGCTGACCTCACACTCACAGAAATCCTCCTGTCGCTGCCTCCCAAGTGCTGGGATTAGAGACCCGAGTCAAGGGTATTAACTTTTTATACTGTACTTACCCAAAGACACGTAGCATAAATACTCTTCAAAAACAAAATGGAAAGACACTCAAGAATGATTATCCAGCATGGTACCCTCTTGGGGTCCATTTCTAAATTTCAATCTTCTCCCATCTCAACTTTATATGGCTCCCAAATTCAAGCCGTCCACACCTGAGCCACCACACTCTCTGTGGGGTCTAATCCATGAGGATGAGATGGAGCTCCTATACACCAAGTGGGAAAATGCCAGAAAATGGAGACTTCAGTTTGGCCAGAATCTCTAAAGACTGACAAGAGATACTGAGGCATTCATCTCAACATTCTAGAGAGGCGCCAGCTATCTAAAAAGTTACTCTGTTTCTTGATTGTACTCACCAAGTACCTGGTGGTGGGGGGAGGTCTGGCAGCTCAGGGGTAGAGTACTTGGCCAGTATGTGAGTCTCTGAGTTCAATACCCAGTTGTTGAAATAGGAGCGGCGGGGCTGCGTCCCCAACACCCCGGCCGCTTGGCTAGCTCATGCCCGAAATAACAACACACAAACTGTATTCATTTAACTGCTGCTTG